CCCCAAAACCCCAAAACCCCAAAACCCCAAAACCCCTATCTAAATCTACTAATTGAAGTCAGCTGGTTGCTTATAAGTCATGCTTAACAAGTCCTTGTGTGACTACCTTCTTCTTTAACTTCTAAAGGATAACCAACACGACTTACTCTTGGAATGCTCAGGTTATTCTTGCCTCTCCTAGTAGTCATTGATTGCATAAAGATCAAGAGGAATACTTACTTAGAGCATAGTGAAGGAGGGATGGCATCATCTCTGTTTTTGCTAAACTCAAGCATCATGTCTTCAATTTGCTGACTGATGTTCTTAATACTCTGCTTTTGTATCTGCTTAATCTTCTCATCATAAACTGGATTTTCAAAGGCTAGACTTAATAAATTTTACTAGCTTACCATTCTTCTCACGCTCTTCCAAGCTGACAAGCCTAGAGCTGGCTTGTTTTACAGAGGATATTGAACCTATGAGAGTCGATGAGCTGGAAACTTACTTTTTGAAACCTGATGTTGTATCGTTTGTTCTAGATGAAATTTCACTCAGTTAAGACAAATTAAATTGATAAAATTGCCAAGGCCCAAGCTCAAGCAAGCATTTGAAATCTTTCTCCAAAATTCAAAAGCATTCAAAGTTCTATTCTAAGAATGGCATAACAGTTAATTACGGTTCGGAACCTGAGTGAGTTTGACCTTCTGGGCTCGGCGACTTAAAGTTCGATTTCTGTTTATCTCAAATTCTCCAGATGTCTCATCTATAAAATCTCACCAGGCAGTCCTGAACAGCTCATTGTCTTTGCTATTCTTAATAATAGTGTCAATGACGAATCCTTCCTTCCTGAATTCTTCTAGGAAAAGTCTGGATTTTTGCTCTTCAGTGAGGTCTTTCTATAAATAAACTAAAGTTCTTGAATTACTGTCTTGATCTTTTCATGTAGGCTAATAATACTGTTCGTCCTGCCTAGCACAGTGGATCTACGTCCCTGCTTGACGAACTTCTCGATCCCCTTCATGCTTTGAGTTATAAGCACCAGCAGGGCTCTCAAATTCTCCATGACTTTATTTGTCTAGAGATTTTAAAGGCTATGTACCATCAAGTTTGTCCTCAGCTGCGTACTTTTGCTTATTCTTGGAGCCAGTGGTCAAAGCTATGGGTCTATGTTTCCTAGAGAGAGTGAGCTGCCACCTTACCCTTTCATTTCTCACCAAGACTCATTCTTCTTACGGTTAAAATAGCTCCTAAAGATCATGAAACCCATGTCTACTTGATACTAGTAATCAGACAGTTTATTTTAATCACCAAGGTTTGCTTCTTAGCCTCGAGTTCCAAAGTTGTTTGGAAGGGATCAGGGAGGGCAAGTCCCTTCATAGTCTCTCGCTTCTAGACTTTACCGCTAGAACATACCGTAGCTCCCTTATGGCGCTTGAAGGTCATCTCCTTGAGCTCATTCCGCTCCAAAATGTTGTCGATGAAGGCATTCTTGTTGAAGTCATTGTGGAAATCAATTTCTTCCCAAGGAAAGTTCTGCTTCTCTTGCAAAATCTTTTCTAAAGGAATTGGATGCTTCTTAAGAGGCTTTAATGAGCATTGAGACTGAGGTAGTCTAGCAGTTAGCATTCTGGCTAGATATTTGATTAGAATTTAGCTCATTGAGCGGTTAAACTGAACATCAAAAAGCTACAATCTAGTTGAAATTTTCAGATTGGCTCATATTAAGTTCCATTAAGAGTTGAAAGAAGCGATCTAGAAAAATGGCATGAAATGAGGCCTATGAACAAGTTCTAAAAATAATTGTATTGCTAGAACTGACTAAGATGGCATCTCTAAAATTAAGTGACCTAAAGAGCATAGGTATGTCGCGAGAATAGTAAAAATCTCTACCAATCTGAAAGCTTTATTAAATATGCTTAGAAATACTATCTTTAATTCTAATTGCTCAGAATAATATTTCTCTTCGTAAAAGTCTTAGACAGAGTAAGCTTATTCCCACGAGAAATGAAAGCTCTCTAAAATATATTTACGTGGCCTCTTGAGAATGTTAAGATCAATTGAGTCTGAATCAGATAAAATTTGGATGTGAGGACTAGGAATCTCTATAAAATTAACCAAAATTATACCTTTAGGCTTCTTTGCTGGTTTATATTTGCTTCTATGAGTCCTTTGGCTTGCAGTAGATCCTGGAAATTATAACAATATATTACATGCAGAGCGGAGCCTTCGAGACGAGACCTTCAAAACAGGCTCTCTAAACCTTTTGCCCTTTCCTAGCTTCGAGTAAAGCTTCTGAGTATATGTAATCTCTTTTCCTTTGTGCTGCTGGTGCTTATATTTCTTCATAAAATGCTGAGTGATTTCTCTAAACTCATCGGCTGAGCCTGCCTCTTCAGGATGAGCCTGTGGCTCATCCTTCTTAAAGGCTCTTCTGCATCTCCTGAGTCACCATCTTTTTTCACTTATTATAAATGAATTTGGAAGACTTGTGCTTATACTTCTTGCACAGTTTAAAGACCATTTGTTCCAACTCTTTAGGAGTTGACCTACCTGGCTTCTTCGAAGAAACAACTTCCTTATCCATCATGAGCAAGCGGAGTTATGAAGAAATTAAATTATTTAGGTTTTGAGGTTTGGAAAGGGGTTTTGGGGTTTTGGGGTTTTGGGGTTTTGGGG